TGCCCGCACCGCCCCAACCCCGCCCACAAAACCCCCGTCCGGCAGCTACAAGTCCCCCGGCGAGGCGTATGTCGAAGGCGACGCTTCCAGCGCCTCCTACTTTTTGGCGGGTGCCACCATCACTGGGGGCACCGTCACCGTGGAGGGCTGCGGCAGCGAGAGCCTGCAGGGAGACGTGCGCTTTGCGGGTGAGCAGGCTGCGGGGGCGGGGGAATGGGGCGCGGCGGTGGATGGCAGGGGGAGGCCGTGTCGCGCTGCATGCGCGCGCGCATGCTGGTTGGGCCGGGCTTTGGGATGGTTCGTTGTTATTGAAGTTCCGGCAGCGTTGCAAAAGGAGCCCACATAGTTATCATAGAGGGGGGGGCATGGGAGCGTGTGCGCTTGCCGCCTGCCCAGGGTTCAGGTAGACCGTTAGTTCTGCAAACGCGCGATGCTAACACGGCGCGGCGGGAGCAACTGTTATAGCCAGTCCCCAGGCGTGCAGCAAGTGCAACTTTACCAGCCTCAAGCAAACAGCAGGCCCCGGTGCAACCATCAACACCCCCACTCCGCCGCAGAGGTGATGGGCCTGATGGGTGCCAAGGTGGAGTGGGCGCCCTACTCCATAACAGTCACCGGCCCCTCTGCTTTCGGCGGGAAGCTGCGCGGCGTCGACCATGACTGTAACGACATCCCCGACGCCGCCATGACCGCCGCCGTTGCCGCCCTGTACGCCGAGGTGCGACCGCATTCCTGTCCCGCAGGCTGCAAGAGCGCGCTGATGAACAACTGCTCAGCCCCACCCTTACCCCTCAGCCTCTATACACTGCGCAACGAGGTTACGCAGCAAGCCCTAGGGCCCCCCAAATACTGCTTGGACATGCCGACCGGAACCTGTGTTTCTGTTGGGCTGTCTTGTAAAGCAAGCTGTTTGGCCTGAAAACGCTACAAAAGAGAGCCCCATGCGCATCCTCAGTGCGCGTTCCCCGCCTGAAGCTGCTCTTGTGTATCCACAGCCACACCCTCCCCAACCCCGCCCCGCACCAGGGCCCCACCGCCATACGCAACGTGTACAACTGGCGCGTGAAGGAGACCGAGCGAATGGTGGCCATCGTCACCGAGCTCACCAAGCTCGGGGCCAAGGTGGGGGCGGTTTTGGTGGCGGTGCTGCGTTCCAGCGGGCAGGGCGTCGGGTGATTTGGCTTTGGTCTTTCCTGTGTACTCTCTGGTACCTGATGGGGTGGGTGTTGGTGTTTCATGAGGTTGGGGCCGTGATCCCCGGTGCCAGGTGGCGGCTGGTAGGCTGCAGTATTATGTGGAGCTGGCACCCTACCTTGCAGAGGGTGGTGTTGACAGGTCGCATTGGCTCTAGGCACAAGGGCGGTTAGGAGCAACAGGGCGCGTCCTCCATGGGGACAAGCCATCCTGCCCTGTACACCCACCCCTCGCCCGCCACTTCTGAAGCCACGTTTGTTGGTCTGTACAATTTGTTGTTCTATTGATCTTCAGACCTGTCAATCTTTTATGTGGAGTTATTTGCACCATGCTGTCGGCTGGCTCTTACTATGTCTGGGCCCCTGCCCCCCTGCCCCCATAAACTCCCCACAAAACACATCCCAGGTGGAGGAGGGGCGCGACTACTGCGTCATCACGCCCCCCGCGGCCGTCACCCCGGGCGTCGCAATTGACACGTACGACGACCACCGCATGGCCATGGCCTTCAGCCTGGTCGCGTGCGGCGGCGTGCCCGTCGTGATCAATGACCCGGGCTGCACCCGCAAGACGTTCCCCACCTACTTCAAGGTCTTCGAGTCGGTAGTGCAGCACTGAGCAGATCGCGGTCCTGGCCGGGGCCGCTTTGGCGTGGGGGTGGGCATGAAGCGACGGTCGTGCACGGCCAGCGGCACAGCTCATCAACAAAAATCAGAGGGGATTGCGTTGCCGTTTGCGCCGTTGGCTGGACAGCAAAATTGCACGGATTGGAGCAACTGCAGATGGGTTCACGAACAGCGCTACGATATCGTTCTGAAGTACCGTTTGCAGCTCGCATTGGCTGATGGTCATTGCCAGTTACGACTTTAATCGATCAACCAAGCCCAGAGCCCGCGACTGCCGGGCATTGCACGCCCAGCACGGCCTGACCCTTTGGGGGACCCAACCGGGCGCGCCGCGCCGCTACATTTGTCGACTCGAGGAGGGCCCTGGAGCCCGGGCCGCCAAGGCGCTCATAGGCAAGAACGGACGTGGTCGGGAAATTGCACCGCTCCGTGCGGCCTCGCACGCCCGTTTGCAAGATGCGCATACGACAGGCAATGTGGTGTGTTGAAAACAACTTCACACCTTGAGCGTCGACTGAATCAGCACAAACCCGTCAAAACTGTTGCAGCGCCCGGACAGATTTTTGCAGCGGCTGCGTCTGCAGCCGTGCTCTTGCCAACCACCCCGCCCGTGAGCCGGCCGGCCAGCATGCACCTGCCACGCTGCGTTCGCACATGTGTAGCAGTACATGGTCACCTGAGCTGACGCGCTGGTAGGCACGGGTCAAAGGGGGATGTGCAACAGCACATTGCCATGTCCGATGCGCTCGGCGGGCACGGGTGAGCAGGCGGGTGCACAAAAGTTAGGCGCGCGTGGGCTGCGCAGCAGCCCCGTCTGCAGGAACTGCGGCCTCATTCACAGACGTGATGTCGGCGGACGTCAGGTCGCCGAACATGTACAAGTGTCCGTGCGCGGTGGCGCGGTTGAACATGACAAAAACAACCGTTGGGGCTAAGGGGGGCCGGAGGTGCAGGATGGTGGTGGGCCCCAAGGGGCTGTGCGCGGTGCGCGGTCGGTCCTGGCATCGCCCGGCACCAGGGGAAACTTCCCCTTGGTGTACACGCATGCGGCCGTCACGGGCTGTCACAAAACGAGTCACAAGCACAGTGCAGCCACTGTCCAGCTGCTCGGACACAGCCACGCACGACCCACGGTTCCGCCACCGACAAGCCCGTCCTGCGGGGCCAGCGGTTGCCTATATATTGCCCCCATTGCCCGGCCCATTCAGGTGCAGTGCTCCCTTGCCAAGCTATTCCACAAGGTCATCCACGCCCGCATCAATGCGTTTGCAACCTCCCAGCACCTCCGGGCGGCTGGGCAGGCAGGCCTCCATGACGGTCGTTGCGCCGCCGACCACGCCTTTGTGCTGCGCCACGTCATCGACCGCGCGCGTCTGGCCCCCGGCCGCCCTGGCCATGTGTTTGCCGCTTTCATTGATTTGGAGAAGGCATACGACGGTATCCCTCGCACACAGTTGTTGGAGTTCCTGGCCTCGCAGGGCATTACCGGCCCCATGCTCGAGACCCTGTGCAGCATGTACTGCAGCATGTACTGGGAAGTGCGGGTGCGGCCCAAGCAGGACGGCCTCCTTGGCCCGCCCTTTGCAAGCACCTGCGGGGTCCGACAAGGCGACCCGCTCTCCCCCCTCCTCTTCAGCCTGTTCTTTGATCGAATTGAGGCGTGGCTTGCCGAGCGGGCCCCCGCGGTCGGGGTGGACCTGCCTGGCTGTGGCCTGCTGTGCGCGCTGTTGTACGCGGATGACAT